GGAGGAAGGATACAAACATCGGCAGGAAGGGATTAAACCTTGGGAGGAAGGATACAAACATCGGCAGGAATGGTTTAAACCTTGGGAGGAAGGATGTAAAACTTGGGAGGAAGGATACAAACATCGGCAGGAAGAGGTTAAACCTTGGGAGGAAGGATGTAAACCTTGGGAGGAAGGATGTAAACCTTGGGAGGAAGGATGTAAACATAGAGAGGAAAGGTTTAAATCTTAAAAGAAAGTTAAACCTCGGAAACAAGGATAAGTGGGAATCTTTTTACCTTGCTTCTCCTTTAAAGTTGAACAAATCTCATTGAGCACGAATAAATTTTCCATATTGATCTGAAATCCAAAAATCATATTTAAATAATTAATTTGCATCCGCACTAACTTAATATATTAACTAGTTTCTTTTGTTTTTGATTGTAACATCACTCTGTTTATCAGTGTTTAATCCTTTCTCTTCAACTGCTGTGGGGGCACTGGATTTGTTTACATTCCTCCCACAGTGTACAGTACACAATTTGCGTATATCTGAGTTGGGCGTTCCTGGTCTATATATTTGTTGAGTAGAAGTAAATTTTTCCATTTACTGTATAGCGCCGATTTAAGGATTCATAACTCTGATTGGATAATGAGATAAATAGAAAGATAGATGTTACCACCGTACTATTTCTATTGGTTCAGAATAGACAACAAACACATGACTCAATCCTGATTGGATCAGGCGCTAATGGACTCGGCATACAGGAATGCTAAATGACCCTTCTACCTTAAAACTCACCCATTCCCTCCATGAGTAAGAATGTTAACCCCAATATTTAATTACAGTAAATTGTGTACTGCATTGCATGCTAACATACTCTGAGCTTCCTTATAGAGAAATAAATTGGAAATGAACTACCTTTTTATATCAAAGATACTTATGAGCAAGGTTATAATGCAAGGAAAGTTATTTCAGTGGTGCACGCATCTTTTGTACTGCAGTGTACTGTCTCTGGGCGGTAATGTAAACACAAGATGGATGTCGAAGCTTGACATGGGATCCATTTTTCACATAAAAAAATAAATGAAATATTGTGGCTATAGGAAACTATAATGTGAATTATCAAAATTATCAAAATTTGATGCTTCTGACCTCCTCGGATACTAAACGAACACTGATGCATCTATTCTTGTTTACAAATTCCGCCCAAAGAGAACTTTTTTCAATATGTACGCAGAGTATATGCAACTGCAATTAACTTTCCTTGCATTATAACCTTGCATATGAGGAAATTGTGGGTTTGTCGGCAGAAATACTGTGTAACAATATATCAGTACGTTCGTAAATGCAAACTAAATATTCTTAATTTGTGAATTACTTAGCTTCCAATGTTACAAAGAAAAGTTTCTGACTTTACTATCAGTGGTATGCTGTTACACTAAACTTTATAACACAGGTAAATTGCATGATGTAAAGTTTTTACTGCACACACTATACGTTTACACTTTAAATCTATTCCTGCAGCACTAGGAGGGTGACGGTGGTTGGGGGGATTTTTAATGTACCAATTTAATGGTTCACCTCAAAGATCAAGGAAAAGATCAAAATGAGGTGTAGCTGCTCAAGCAGTCCTTTACCTGTAGCTGGTTCTCTGCAAAGATAAAGAATAACATCAAAATGAGGTTTAGCTGCTCTAGTAGTTCTATTTCTGTATTGTGTACTCCACAAAGATCAAGGATATGATCAAGATGAGCTTTAGCTGCTATACCTGTAGCTGGTTCTCCACAAAGATCAAGGATATGATCAAGATGAACTTAAGCTGCTATACATGTAGCTGGTTCACCACAAAGATCAAGAATAGGATCAAGATGAATTTTAGCTGCTATACATGTAGCTGGTTCTCCACAAAGATCAAGGATAGGATCAAGATGAGCTTTAGCTGATATACCTGTAGCTGGTACTCCACAAAGATCAAGGATATGATCAAGATGAGCTTTAGCTGCTATACCTGTAGCTGGTTCACCACAAAGATCAAGGATATGATCAAGATGAGCTTTAGCTGCTATACCTGTAGCTGGTTCACCACAAAGATCAAGGATATGATCAAGATGAGCTTTAGCTGTTCTGGCTTCTGGAAGATACTGATACAGCTTATCCAATACAACATAGTTTCCCAATCTAAACATTACAGATAACAAATAATACATAATATTATTTGAATTTTGGGTACAGAGAAAATCAGAGACCGAATTTAAAGAATTGAATAGGTTGCTGAACTATCTATCGCTGGTTCAAATCCTGAATCACAGATTGAAATCAATATGAATATTTAACTTTAAATCGGCAATAAGTAGTTCAGCAGCCTTTGTCTCAGAGGTAATAAATAGGTTTGCAAATTTGAATTCGAATTAATTTTTGAGATTTTTAATAAACAATATTTAATTTTTTGTTTATTCCATTAATTCATGAATTAAATTCAGATGAAGGTTTAAATATAAGCTTTGAAAATCAAACATGTATTTGTATCACACAACCCATCTTCTTATTGGTTTAACCCTGTCCTACAGTCTTTGTGCCATTCACGTCAAACCTCCACACACGCACCTCTGACCCTTCAGTAAAAGTAAATTCAACCTAAAGTCTGAAAGCGTCAATCTTGTTGCACCGGCTAGTCAAATTGAGTTTCTGCTTTATTTACCTAATGTCCTGTCCATACAGTACAAACTGGGACTGGAAAGGTTGACCCGGCTTGGAAATTCAAATGAACTATGGCTGCCCGTGGTATAAAGGGCGGAATAATTATGTTGATACTAGTCCATTAGAAAATATGTAGATTAACTTTTTTTTTAACTTTAGAAAAGTTGCTTTTCAATTGGGACTAGTTTTGAAAACCAAAACAAAAAAGTGATTGCAAAATTTTATTGTAAAACTGGTTATTTCTAAAACTGACTCTATGAAATGAAAAATAGTTTTGCAATTTTGTTGTTGAATGATATTTACATAAAACAATAACTACACTTACATTATATTTTATGAAGATTTGTTTAGTCTACATATTATGCAAGAAAAGTTTCCGAGGAATTTATATAAAAAGGAATATTTTCTTGATTGTTTTCGACAGAATATACTTGTGCTGCAGACAGTAGAGATCTTATAAGAAAAAATATATAATATCAAAAACAGCTTCCTTCACGCTTTGCGGCATTCGTCAAATAGTAATAATTTTGGTCATTAAAGCAAAAATTTTATTAGTCCTTTATAAACCTTAAAAAGGCTAGTATTGGGTGTATTCTTTGAAAACTTTTTAAAATGAGATGAGTGAAAAAAGGAACATTTTCCCTAAAAATTGTAAATCTTTAAACTAGAAATAGAAGATGAAGTCTGCAAAGCCTTCTTAAAAATGTATTTCTATTTTTAAAAAGATTTCTTGGAAAAGCTAAATTTTACACAATATATTTTGAACACAATATTAAAAATGAATTTTCAAAAACCTAATTCCATGACTTAATGCCACGTGTAGGGAGTCACTGTAATTTTGTTTAAAGGGGCTGAATCCTTAGATTAACCGTCCCGGTTTGCCTTCAGAGGGCCAAACTTAAAAGAAATTTACAGGGTATCCCAAACCAAACCTGGCCACGAAACCGGGTTAGCTCTCTTAAGTCTGGGTTTGAGTTTCGTAAGGGTTTCGGGAAACTCCGAAAACTCAGAATGTTACGGGGCAATACCTCAAAATGAAACCCTTGTATAGGAGTAGGGTTACGGCTGGGAAAGTGAGTTTCGTAGTGATTGTGGAACATATGAAGCACCATTTCTTCGTATTTATGCTTTAAATGGCTTCATATATGTTCCAAATACTTGATCCGTTAAGATCTCTCTCTCTATAGACTCGATATTGAATAGAGTACAGTCAAATCGAACTTAAAAACATTTTTCTGTTAAAAGTGAATACAGTAATTTATTTACGTTTATCTGCTAGCAGGCCCGTAACCAGGGGGGGGGGTGCAAGGGTGCACGTGCACCCCCCTTTCTTCTAAAAGAGGGGTGCAATGACGAATTTGCCCCCCCCCCCCCTAGTCCCATATAACAGAAATTGTTTTCATAAGTTTCTAAAATCTAGTTTTAAATTATATAGCCCGAGTAAGAATAATAATATCAATAGACTGCTGAAGAAAAATTAACATCAATCTACCTAATACATTAAAATAGTTTTTTTTTTCAAAAAGTCCTGTAAATTACTTTTGCTTAAAAATCTTAGTGATATTGTAAAAATTTAGAATGCAACAGAAAAAAAAATTGTAGCCTTAGAAATTTTTTTTAATGAGATCCTTGTGCAAAAAAAACTTTTTTAAGTTTAATAAGTACCAAAAATATTCTATAAACTAAAAGAAAGTCTCAGCAAATTCACAAATGTATCTGATGACATCACACAACTACAGATATTTTTAAAAAAATCTGTAGCTCCACCTTTCTGGACATTATAAGAGTGTAAATTTAAATCTTTCCTTGGATGGGCCGACTATAACGCCAAAAAACTGATACCAATTTGATCACTTTCCAGTGCGTAGCAGCTTTATTCATAAAACACCACAGCTGGAGACTCCAATGACAGCATATTTTAACCCAGTTTCCTAGAGTTTCAAAATACGTTTTAAGAACATGAAACCCGAACTCTGCCAAACCTGGGTTTCAGGAAACCGGGTATCGTAGCGAGTTTTATAATTTTCTTAAGTTTTGCCCTCTGTAGTCTGTATGTGTACTGTACTGTACATTTTCCTTGCTGCTTTAAACTGGGCCTGCTTCTTGTAATGAACCGGAGTTTACAGTGGAGAGGGAGCCCCCCCCCCCCTCTGGATTAAATTATCCAGAGACCATCCATCTTTAAAGGGAATAAGAAAATAAGGAATACCTGTGTTCTTCTTCCAGAGCTTCTTCCTCGTCTGGAATTTCATTTCTATCCACCTTAAATATGCTTACAGTTTACAAAGGTCACAGAGAACATTGAGTACACAGAGTTACATTTCTATCCACATAAAATGATAAAATATTTATACAGTTTACAGAGGTCACAGGGTATACATAGAGTATATCGAGTACATAGAGTTTTATGGCTATGTATAAAATCTACAGAGCCCAAAACTTAAGACAGAGTATCGTAATGAAAACCAGTTTTAAAACCCGGGTTTCGCGAATGGGGTTAGGCAGTTTTGTGAATATCAATATTCTTGTAATGAAATATTATTTTTTTCAAGTTGTTTATATTTTCCATTTTTTTCGAATCTCTTAAATCAAAATCTGCACAAATGCTAAGACCCCAGAAAAGAAACTCGGTAGTTTCGTTCAACGATACTCTTTTAAATTTCGGGCTTAGAGGTCACAGAAAGCATAGAGTACATAGAGTACATAGAGTACACAAAGTTACATTTCTATCCACCTGAAATATTTATACTGCAGACTATAACAGAGGTCACAGAGAACATAGAGTTATCAAGTACATAGAGTCGTATGGCTATTTATACAGTTTACAGAGGTCACAGAAAGTGCGCAGAGTTTTATGGCTGTTTATACAGTTTACAGAGGTCAGTGTCACAGAGAACATAGAGTACATAGTACACAGAGTTACATTTCTATCCACCTGAAATGTTTATACAGTTTACAGAGGTCACAAAGAGCATAGAGCACATATCAAGAATATAGAGTTTTATGGCTATGTATACAGTTTACAGAGGTAACATAGAGCATAGAGCACATAGAGTACACAGAGTTACATTTCTATCCACCTGAAATATGTATACAGAGCTCACAAAACACATAGAGTACATAGAGTACACATTGAGTACATGGAGTACACATTGAGTACATGGAGTACACATAGAGTACATAGAGTACATATTCAGTTTGCAGACTTCACATAGAACACAGATTTAGTGATTGGCGCAGTCTGCTTTTCTCATTTTGTTCGTTTTTCATTTGTGAACAACCCATTTCATTCTTTTTTTTTCAATCGTTTAAAAAATTAATTTTGTTTATTCTCAAAAATATTGTTCATTTTTCATCAATTATGTTTGAATTCTCAGTGCACTTTCGTTCAGTAAAATTGTTTGTGAGCAGTCAAATTGTTTGTGAACAGTAAAATTGTTCATTCGATAGAATTATTCACTTTGTAAAATAGCAATCATTTTACAAAAGTTTGTTGGAAAAAATCATATGTTCAGTAAAAACCTATTGTTTTTTTAAAAGTCAGTTCGAAAAATTTTTGTTCAGTTAAAAACCATCGTTTCTGTCAAAATCTTTTGAGAAATATGTTTGCTCAGTAATATATATTTTTTTAATAGTTCGTTTTTTTCAAATGACTGTTTTTTTATTTCTCTGCACAATCCAAGTTATTTTTGTCTATTGTTTTTTTCTGAACGACAACATTGTTAACGAACAATTTCGTTTATTCACAATAATGCCCATCTCTATATAGAATTCACAATGGTCAAGGAGGATACACAGAGTACTCAGAGGACACAGAGATCACAAAGTACACATAGTACACATAGTTCATAGAGTACACAGTACACCGAGTACAAAGAGTCCATATTGTATACAGGATGAATAGAGTACACAGAGTGGTGGTAAACAACTTGTTTGTGTACAATTTTTCTATTGATCTCTGAGTATGATCTCTGGACATATCCGTTACAATTTCTATTTTTTATAAGGTTTATGCTGAAATGAACTCAGGAATGTAAAGTAAAGCTTATGCTAAAATTAACTCAGGAATGCCTGACAGATTGTCAGAAAATTCATTTAGGGAAAATTAAATCATTTCCTAGGAAATTTTTTTCTATAAAAAGATGCTCCAGGACTCAAAAGGTTTCAAAGCACAAATGTGTGAAGTACACTTGCAGTATGAAAACAGTACATCAAAATGGCGGTTTTACATTTTTTCTACTTAATTCCACTCTATAATTATCTATTCTCTTTGCTCAGCACTTATTGAAAGAAACATGTGTCAGGGAATTATCTTTCACAGAAACTTTTTCAAGTTTGTAATTAACGTTAATGACGTCAGGTTTTGTTCAGCAGAAATAAGATTAATGTAATGCTTCCAAGTATAAAGTATTAATGAAGTTCAAAAACGTATTAAATGAAGTGTTTCTGAAAAAGCGGCCCTTTTTTTAATTTAACATTAAAAAATACCAACGTTTTGCAGAAAAAATATTCCTCAAAATATGAAACACTTAATATTTTTCTTTAAACTCCCATGTCAATTCGTCTTAAATTTTTGACTCAACAACACATCTAAGTTTTCCTTCAAAATAAAAAAAGTCCACCCCCCCCCCCGCCCTCCTAAAAAAATGAAAACAAACCTGTCTAAAGATGTACTCCTTCCCCTTATTATGCCCATGCACGATATCTTTAATCAAGCAAGCAATCACCATTCCAGTTGTAGTTCGTCCCTTACCCATCTAAACAATATGTACAGGGTGTCCCAATAAAGATGGTCGCTATAAAAGGGAATGTTCGCGAAAAGTAAAAGGGATTCTGGCTTATATCGACATGAATTTGATATGGATTGCTACTAAATGTACTTTTATCTCTTGCGTATATAAGGAGAAAAACGACCCATATGTAGTTGCATTAGTCCACTCAGATAGTAGATAATTAAATTTTGAATTAATCATTCATATTATAACCTATAAATGTCGAATTCAATTGGATGCATTCCAGTATAGTTGATATTTCATGATATTTTTTTTTTATTTACAATATACTTTAACGACTATTATTTGGTCGCTTGGTTTCTCTTCTCTAAATATTTCAGGAATTTTGCTTGGGAAAGACAAACAATTGTCGTTTAAAGTACATTGCACATGTAAAAAAATCATATTTACCTGACAGTTGAAAACACATGCTGTATTATCATCTGCTACTCGTAACATCTCCAACAGTGCGTCAAAATCTCCAACTGTTGGGGCTTTCTCGTCAATTATAGGCATCCTTAACACAGGTATGGTTGTTATTTTTTTTAAATCATCGTTTCGTTTTTTGAAAAAAAAGAACGAACGATTCACTTGTTTTGTTGAAAAACGAAAAACTTGTCATCATTTTTGAAAAATATTTTGGTAATGAATCTGAGTTTTATGACAATTAATTTCAATTTTATTTTAGGAAGTCTATGAATAACTTGTCTTAAATGGGTTTTTTATCGAGAGAAATAACCTAAATGTTTTCTGACCTCAGGAGTTTCCGACCAAAAAATGTATTTTGTCTAAAAAAGGTTGTTAACTAAAACTAAAAAGCGACTTTTTCGTCGTTATTTAAAACTAACCGATCGTTTTCCAACAAAGTGAAATGATTCATCCCTAAACACAGGACTTACAACAATGTAACAGAATATTGATATTAAGTATTTTAACCCTATCACCATAACTCAAAAACGGCTTACAGTAGAACGATCAAAACTTCATAACTTTTTAAACTGCAAAAAAATATAAGTTTATGCATAGGGTAGGGAATAGGACGATCAAAAATAATTCATAACTTTTTATTAAGACAAAAATAGTCAAATTGATATTGTGAAGGTAACGGGTACATTTTTAATAACTCTTGAAAGCTTGTAGGCAAATTTTACATCTAACCAATAGTAGAGATATTAATATCAAATTAGCATCTGTTTCATCGCAATATCAATATTTGACATCACAACATTCTTTTCTGCGATACAGTCGGATTAAAATATAAGGTTGTCAAAAAAAACCGGGATTAGGATATTTAGCCCTTTCAATCCTAAAAAATACTCAAAAATAGTTTGACATAGTTAGTTGTACGCCAAGTTGTACGCCAAGTTGTACGCCAAGTTGTACGCCAAACGGAAGCATCAAAATACAAAAAGTTACTTTAACGACCCCCTTTATTAAATCCAAAACTGCATGCATAGTATATGTAAAGTGTTTTTCGAGTCATTTAATTGTTTAGTCATTTAAAAGACTATTAGGGCTAAAAAACGATATACTGTTTTTATTGGGGTCAACCTTTTGTTGGTCAAGGCAAAGACGTTCTTGTAAAGGAAAATGATTGAAATTACAAATTTTAACCACTTTGGAAATAATAAGATTTACAATTTCTATTAATAAGTGTTTTTTCTATGTTTTCAAATAGTTTTATGTTATTTTGTGAAAAATCTTTAATTTGTTTTTGCAGGTCATTAATTATCGTGTTCATCTAATATAAAATAAAAAGTTTGATTATTGGAAAACTAAGAGAAATGTTGCAAAATATAAAAAGAAAAACTTTTTCATTTTTTTTATGGTTTGTTTCATTCCCAGACTAATAGGAAAACCTTGGTGTATGGTAGCTGGGGTTTCAAATAATATAAACAGAGAATGTTACTTCAATAAATTTTAGATGACAATTTTCTAAATAAAACAATTTTTAGGTTTTTGTCCAACTGGCTCTCTGTTGCTTTTCATGGAATACAATGCGGATTTCAACATCAAAGACAAGGAAAGAAATGACTGAGAAATGGTGTGAAATGTCCTAAATGAATGAATTTTGACATTTCTAAATGTTTTCTAAACTAAAAGAAAAGACTGAAGGAAACTAAAGCTCGAACTAAATCAAAGTTTTCAACTTTTCTTCAGCTGGAAGATTTAGCTCAGCTCAGATCCTGCCATTCAATCAGATATACTAGATCTGGAGGGAGGGGGNCAGTACACATTAGTACACTTTAGTATCTACAGAACACATCATTACACTTCAGCATCTGCAGTACACATTGATATACTTTAGTATCTGCCGTTCACATTAGTACGGGGGGAAGATTATGCCATTAAATCAGATATACTAGATCTAGAGGTAAGGGGGGGGAAGATTATGCCATTAAATCAGATATACTAGATCCGGGGGTGGGGGCAGATCAGATCCTGCCATTCAAAATATTAGATTCAGTTATAGATATAACAAAGCCTTCATATTAAGTTTTTGGAAAAACGTCCCAGAAATCCAACTTTCTTTTCTGTGACTTTTGTTTTTTCCATACTTCAGGAACTTTACACAAGTTTTTCTTTACAGGTTTTTTTCAGATACTTTTTTCCCGTGACTAAAAACATGTATTTTAGGAGGAGAGAATAAAAAATGTCAGACCGGCAAGTATTGATCATAAAAATAAAAGGAATGCACGGTCAGACGAGGGAAGGAAGGCCAACCACAACAATTTATAGTCACATTCTTCATATTTTCTTATCCGAAACACCTCAAAATCCTTGTCCTTCCAATAACATTTTTTTAATGTCCAACCCTTACAAATAAAAATATTTTTTGAAAATATGGCGAAGTTAGGGCATAAGACAGGGTTAGACTAAAATATTGCCATGTTTTTATCCTGTTAGATTCATTCAAATCCATGAAAATGATGTCAAACTTTATTTAGGGTAAAACTTAAATCTCTTCTGCCTGTGTAATTTATAACTTTTATAATTTAAAAGTAATATCAAAGGATATGCTTGAACATTGTCTGTGATCATTCAATTTCCATCCATATAAAAAAATCATTCATTTTTATATATTTACAAATAAAGGCAAATTTTTTTGGTCTCGCACCAAATCATTATTGCCTGACCCGTGAAATTATCCAAGTAGATAATAATGTGAAATTTAAATTATTTAAATTATTTGCTACAATTTACTCACCACAACCTTATAAATACAAACAGTATTTTTATCGTTAAGCATATTATTTTTTTTACGTATTTAAAGTTGGTTTGGTAAAATTTAATGCATTATTTTTACCCTTACATGGGCATATTTTCATATTCTTGGGAGGACTAGGATTTAGAGGTGACTCGGACGATTAAATGAGGATAATGTGGCTCAAATTATAAATTGTTATGGTTGGCCTTCCTCCCCTCGTCAGACAATGATGATATTATGAAAATTATTAAATTATAAATATAATCTCTGTTGGCGTGTCATTTATAAAAACCCCTGGAAGCCTGCATACTGCTAGGTTTGGGCACATTCCAACTTTTTCTAGCCGTTATGTTAACGGTTAGTTCCAACTGTTTAAAGATAAAAATTTCAGGTAGTCGTTAATCTTAAGAACAAAACACTTGTTTCGTTAATGGCATTCACCGTGTTTTTTTTTCATTACCATTAGTTAACAATCTCAATTTTATTAACCATGTTAACGGAAAATTGTCAACAAATGTTAACAGTCTATTACATTATTTACAGCAGGAAGTATTAATGGTTCAGGAAATTGTTAACGGGGCAGCCGTTAATGGATAACAGTATAACAGTTTATGAAATCGTTAACGGCACAGCCATTAAAGGTCTATTTTAGTATAAACGGCGTGAAGACACCAAAAAAAATTTGTTAACGGTTATGAAAACGTTTACAGTTCAGCCCTTAACAGTCTTTTGTAGTATTATAATGGCATTAACGGTTTGTCAAAATGTTAACGGCATTATGAGCAGTTATATTCATCTTTTTCTGTAGACTGAGTAGTATCTAGATATCCAAATCAACTTTATTTATCCTAATCTGAGGAGATTCTTTCGCGGCTGGACAAACTCCAAATCTTTTTATCAAAATTCTTTCTCAACATTCTATTCTCAGCATTTGAGAATGTGAACGCAGAAGACGACATCTAAAAAATTTATGCAATTTTAAGCAGGAAAAAAACGAAATTTACAGTTTTTAAAAAATTTGTAAACGGAATCAATTCTGACTTTTTTTCTGAACTTCTGCATGTACTACAATGTTCTCAAAACTATTGCGTACTGCAGTATTTTCAGGGCCCCTGCGTACTGCAATATTTTCAGGACCCCTGCGTACTGCAATATTTTCAGGGCCCCTGCGTACTGCAATATTTTCAGGACCCCTGCGTACTGCATTATTTTCAGGACCCCTGCGTACTGCAATATTTTCAGGACCCCTGCGTACTGCAATATTTTCAGGGCCCCTGCGTACTGCAATATTTTCAGGACCCCTGCGTACTGCATTATTTTCAGGACCCCTGCGTACTGCAATATTTTCAGGACCCCTGCGTACTGCAATATTTTCAGAATCCCTTCATATCGCAATGTTCTCAAGAAACCCTGACTACTGCAATATTTTTCTTACCAAACCTAGTGAACTGAAATATTTTTTATTTAGCTTTCTTTGAAAAAAAACATACCTTGCGGACTGCAAAACAACCAAACATACGTTTGTCATACTGCAATGAGAAAAAACATATCTAGCGTACTGCAATAATAACAAAACATACCTGCAGTACTACACATAGAACCAAACATACCTGCCGTACTGCAATAATAACCAAACATACTTGCCGTACGGCTAAGAGAACCAAACGTACCTGGCGTAATGCAATATTAACCAAACATACCTGCCGTACTGCAAAGAGAACCAAACATACCTGCCGTACTGCAATAATAACCAAACATACCTGCCGTACTGCAATAATAACCAAACATACCTGGCGTACTACAATAATAACCAAACATGCCTGCCGTACTGCAAAGAGAACCAAATTTACCTGGCGTATTGCAATGAGAACCCAGACTGCTTGAGATCTGAGTAGAGTCCACCAAGTGTAATCAGATCTTCCTCGTTATCAAGATGTACACTGTACTCAATATTCTTCCGATCCTCAGGATGTTCAGCATATGTATCCCTGTAGTACCTCACCTGCAGTACACATTAGTACACTTTAGTATCTACAGAATACATCATTACACTTCAGCATCTGCAGTACACATTGATATACTTTAGTATCTGCCGTTCACATTAGTACGCTTTACCATCAGCAGTACACATTAGTACAATTTAGTATCTACAGAACACATTAGTACACTTTAGTATCTACAGAACACATGAGTACACTTTAGTATCTACAGAACACATCAGTACACTTTAGCAACAGTACACATTAATACAATTTAGCATCTGCAGTAGACATTAATAAGTACACTATAGTATCTACAGAACACATGAGTTCACTTTAGCATCTGCAGTACACATTAATACACTTTAGCATATGCAGTACACATTAATACACTTCAGCATCTGCAGTAGACATTAGTAAGTACACTTTAGTGTGTACAGAACACATGAGTACACTTCAGCATCTGCAGTACACATTGATATACTTTGCAGTACACATTGGTAAGCTTTAGCATCAGCAGTACACATTAGTACGCTTTAGTATCTGCAGTAGTACACATTAGTACAATTTAGTATCTGCACTACACATTTGTATATTTTAGTACCTGTAGTACAAATTAGTACACATTAATACACTTTGATACACTTTAATACATGCAGTGTACATTTGTACACTTTGATACACTTTGGTAAATGCAGTATACATAAAAGTACACTTCAGTAGCGCACTACACGTTAACACACTTTAGGACCTATAATATATTAGTATACATTAGTACTTGGAGAACACTATAGTAGACACTATACCAACTGCAGTACACATTATAATACTTTTATACCTGTCGTACACATTTGAAACCGCATTAAACGTTTGAACACATTAGTATAATGGAGGAGACTGTAAAGATGACTTGAAACTCTTAAAGTACGACAATCCCATGTTAAAATGAAGTCTTCTGCCTTGAATATAGTTTTTTACGGCTAAAATCATGATTTCGTAAAGAAACAAAAAAGCTATAGATGCAGAGATTCATGCACTTAAGGAAACGGTATAAATTCCGTACAGTCGTCTGTGAAGTATTATCTGTTCTGTATTTAAAACTGCTCCCGCATTTACGTAAAACAGTATAAAACCCAATGAAAAATTGTCAAGACGACATTTGATAAATTCTTTCGATGTATGGCTGATTTAGGGTTTAACTGTAGAAGAACCATATTTTCAGAGGTTTTGTTGAAATATAAAGAATTTGATGAGCGTAAATATCAAGTGTTTTTATTATTTTCTTTAAACTTGAAGATAATAAATTACAACAATATTGTAAGATCTAAAAGAAACTGGGAAAAATGTGCTATCATAATAAATTTTACACATTTAGTTCTCTTCTTGGTTTAAAGCAAATTATGTTTCACAGCAAAACATTAAGAAATAGAAAAGAAAAAGGGACTGTGGACAGTATTGTAAGCGAGCCTTCATAACAGAGATTGTAGAAAACATATTTAACTAATCAGTATCTCGTCATTCTAAATTGTGTATATAACTAGTCCTTTAACAAACTAAAACACCCCATTTGTTCGGATTATAAACAACACTTGCCGCAATTCTCAAGGTACTAATTCAAGGAAAGTTAATTGCAGTTGTGTTTACTCTGCGTACATATTGAAACCAGTTTTCTCTGGGCAGAATTTGTAAACAAGAATAGAGGCATCAGTGTTCGTTTAGTATCCGAAGAGGATAAAAGCATTAAATTTTGATAATTTTGATGGTTCACATAATAGTTTCCTATGACCTGAATATTTCATTGATTTTTTTATGTGAAAGATGGCTCCCATGTCAGGCTTCGACATCCGTCTTGTGTTTACATTAACGCCCAGAGACAGTACACTGCAGTACAAAAGATGCGTACACCACTGAAATAACTTTCCTTGCATTATAACCTTGTCGCAACTTTTTTATTCAATGTGCTGTATGGACGTAGCAAGTACAGAGTCAAGTTCACATTTTCAATTTCAGCTGAAACACTCTGGTATGGTGAGGACGACATGAGCTATCTAGTCTAATTTATCTATATCTAAAATTTCAGAATATTCCAAAGCGGTTCACAGTAAAATTGTAGGTTAAATTAAACTGTAGATGTTTGCAGCAGAGACGATTAGGGGCATTTATATAGTTTCAAAACAGACACGACAATATCTTCATTATATTCAAGTTAGGGGTGCCGCAGACCCTGGCAGGGGGTAGTTGTGACCGTCCCTAGTGGCCCCAATTTATACATATTCCTGAACTCTTTTTATATCTTATTTTTGAAGCAAAGTAACCTGCAGCGAATATTAAACTAAGCAATATTGAAAGCGTGTAACAACCAAAAAGAAAACTTTTAGAAAACTTTTAATAATTCTCGTCAAAGAAAAGTTTTGCTGCGGTGTTGCAACATCTTATAGACTCAACAAAATATTACCACCGTGTAAACATATTAAAGGAAAAACAAAATAAAATAGTCTTAACATTGTAAATATTGTTTTCTTACTTATGGGATACAGGCTTCAAAGCACCCATCTTTCATTTTGATTTTAATTGTAGTATAAAAACGGACAGAGTCACTCCGACAGAAAAGCATATATATGTATTCATAGAGATATAGATGTTAAGCTATGCTATATACATGTTGTTTGTTAATATAAAATATATATTTACAATATTTTAAATACTGGGGTCAGTCCATTTATCACCAAACAACCCCCTGGGGAGTGGGAAGACATGACTAGAGGCCAATGATTTTTTTGTATTGCATAAATGTGAAATGTTAAAAACGTCAAAACTATGATTCATGAAAAAGTTAAATTTTGTTAACTACATTGAACCTCCCCCCCTCGGCCCTCCCCCCTCAAAACCCCATGTTTGATACATCATCAGAAAGCTATTATCCTGAACTGTTAGAATCTACAAAAAAAATAGCAATTTGCAAAAACTGGAATTTTTTTTTGCAAAATGCAGTTTTAATGTTAAATGTTTGCAAAATAAATGTCCAAAAAATGATAAGTTATACATTTGTGAAAAGCCCTTGACCACGCCAATTCAAATATGGAACAAATTTTGCAAATTTTAAATAACCTGATGTGTAATTGTGAAAAACTAAATATGTGTACATTTCTTATGACAGGTTGTATGCAAATAATTTGCAAATATTTCTTTGCACAACATATGCAATCCGTTTCCTTATGTCATAGGCTTTCCAGAAAGCTAAAAATTATCAAAATCTGGCAACTGAAAGTGGGTCAAAGCAAAGATTTAGTTTGTTACAGGAAAAGGTCCTTAGGCAGTGTGCCCGAGGACTCAGGCAGTTAGGTAAAAAGCCCGGTTTTATACCTAAAGGGAGGGCTATGGCTATTCAGGAAAAGTATAAAAATGTCTACAGCCTTAGACCAATACTTCTTGAGTTATGTGAACAAAACTACAGGGTGGGGTCAAATTGAAAAGGGATAAGTTGATATTTCATATTTGAGTTTTAGCTCAGCAGTTGGTAAAACATGTTTTTAAAATAAACTAGATATCTTAAAAATGGACTGACCCAAATTCTAAAAATACTAAATCTAAAAAAATGTATGTTTTTAAAAAATTGTGTAAATGTGTTCCTTTGGTGAATTGTTGAAACCAACTTTTTTCTTTCGTTTCTGCAAAAATGGATTTATTACACAAAACAAACAAAAACCTTATATATAATTATTTAAATTTAAATATTTATATATAAATTGTCTCCGGTTGTCCCAATAACTTTTTCAAAGTTAAAAGATTTTAGGAATTTGTAAAGTTGTAAAAATGTCTGTATGTCATTTTTAAGCAGTTTTTTTTGTCTCATATCACTTAGGCAAAATCAATCTTCTTGTTGTGTTTCAATTTTCAATTTTCTTTTTCAATTTTTAATTTTCTTTTTCAATTTTCAAAACTTGTTTTTGCAGAAATTGCTACTTTGTTAAAGGGGAGGAGAAGGAGACGAGATCTTAAACTTTTTTATTTGACATTTGTTTACAAATATTGCATTTGGTATTAAAATAGTTTAGAAACTTTTTGAAAATATTTGTGAAACTTGTTTCATATATGCACACTGACGTTCAGTTTAGTTCTGGCAGGAAAATTAATCTTTAAACAAAGGGACAGTTTCTGTTCTTTAAATTGACGTTTATTTTTGAAATCATATTTTGAGTGTTTTTGTGTATTTCTGCAAACTTAAAGATGAGTGTTGAAGCTGTTTCCCAATCCAGTTTTTGCCACAAAGTCTGATTATTTAATCTCTATATCTTTGTAACGCAATGTCGTAGACCTTAGATATTTCAAACTAGTAATACTTACAGAGAAATTAATCTAAGTTTGAAATATCAAAGGTTTTTAATCATCAGGTTGCAAAGATATTGGGATCAGAAGATTTGAGTTTGTGGCAAAAAGTCAATTCCTTTAGATAGTTGTTAATTGAACAATACTGTAAATCATTAAAGGTAGACTTCTTGAAATATTTTCTAAATCTTGAAAAATTCTTAGACATAAAATTAAGTATCTGCGAATATAAATTCAAGAAGTCTGGGAAGAAATCCATGATTAGAGAACCATCAACAAAGACTAATTTTCAACGGACCCCCCCNCCCCCACCCGCATCCTTTGCCATTGGAGATCCCATTTTTGTTATTGAAGGCCCCTCATGTTCCTTTGGTTCAGTTCTGACCCCCACTTTATATTAGACACCTAAACTTTAAAAGCAGAACCCAAATCTGTCATCATCATTGATTAAAGTCCTCCTACGCTAACATTAGAGTTCTCCTACTCTAACATTAGAGTCCTCCTAAATGATGAAGATTTCTTCCAGATTCGGATAAACAGTGATTCATAGTATCAAACTTTAAATGTATTCCACAAAACTATTACAATTTGCAACTAGTGATATTTGATGTCCACCGACTTTGTTCAGTTTATTTTGACTTTTTATATGGACTTGTATAAGGTTCCAGAAAAATCAAAATTGTTTAATCTAACCTCACACTTTGTCAAATTTTAATACCGAGAGAAGAACCCGGTTGTTGCTTTTTTTCTTTTTTCTTTTTTTTCTTTTTTCTTTTTATTCCAAAGAATTTGATAAAAGCAAATTTTTACAGAATATAGTTTTGAAATGTAGGAACCTTTTTTTTAATTTCCTATAGTTTATCAAAAGCAAACTTTTACAAAATAAAGTTTTGAAATGTAGGGACCTTTTTATATTTTCTATAATTTAATAATATGAAATTTTTACAGAATATAGTTTTGAAATGTAGGGACCTTATTTTTTTTATTTTTTACATTTTAATAAAAGCAAACTTTTACAGAATACAACCTTATTTTTACAGAACAGTTTTTTGTGGTGCTTTTTAAACGTCCAGAAATCTGAAAAGTTTAAAAAAAAGCTAACCCAGTCAAGTTCTTGCCCCTCACTATTTGTAACTAATGAGATAATGTACAGCAAAACTATTTACAAAAAAGGTTCCCACAAAATAAATCTATATTTAATAAATCTATAATATATTTAGAATGTTGTGGAAACTTTAAAACAGTGGCGGCTTAAAATGGGGGGACGTCCCCCCCTCTTGAAAAATTTAGGGTAGAGAGAGCCCTTTAATTTTAATTTCCAAGAATACATTAAAAAATATTTTATTTGCGGGGCCACTTTATCCCTCAAAAAAGGATTTATTATAAAAATATATAGAAATTGTAGATTTGATAATAACACCCCCAGCTTGTCAGGGATTTTTTGAAAAGGACCAAATTCTCTTTCAAGGGGGGGGGGGTTTCTACATACAGTGAGATCTATAAAATAATGGAAAAGGAATAGCACATAAAAGCAATCTTATCTGTGTCTACAGTGCATGTCAAAACTATTCAAAAGCAAAAATTAGGCCTAATCCAAGGTGTTAAGGGTATCACTGGTTCAATATTGTTTTGCAAGCTGGATTCATGATGCAATCAATTTCAAGAAAAATTAAAAAAGACATTTGACAAATAACACTTTACATTTCGAGATGAAAAATCGCTTATATTCAACAAAAAAAATCGCTATTTTGGCCGTCATCCAACTTTGCTGAAAAATATGAGTGATTTTTTTGTTTAATTAAAAGCGATTTTTTGTCGCTCATTTAATGCCAAATAATTTCGAGTGAAAGATTACCAATCCTTTCTCTTCATCGGGAGTATATCTGTCCTTCTTAACCTCATCCACCTTATCCTAGAATAATTATCATATTTAATATTTATGCATTCAAACTTTTTTAATAAACAGAGAAGACATCTTTGTCCAGGATCAATAAAAACATTAAATATTTATTTATCACAGTTCACTTGTCATCAATATATTATCGGCATAGAGTCGAAAAAAGGCTGGATTTAAAAAGTCCAAAGGCCGAATTTAAAGAATTTGAGTCGCGGTTTAAATCTAAGCCGCGGTTTAGATTTAAGCCGCGGCTTAAATATTATTTGTTCCACTTAAATTTGTATTAAATTTTTCAAGATTTAAGCCGGCGGTCAAATAAAACCGGTTTTTTGGGGATTTGATACGTGGCTTAATTATTCATTAAATTCGGACACAGGTAAAGAATAAATTCCATATTGAAGTAAAGTTCAGACAGATATTTGAAAATATATTGCTATCTAACCATTAATTTACGATATGTAGAGGAACTTGATGCCCCAAAAGCATATTGCAAATAGGGAAACTTTAGTTTTTAAAGGGACTGTTCGCATATTTTCACCTGACCCACCATGCAAAAATAGCAATTGTCAATTAGCAGCGGTACTCTTGCAAATTGAAACCATTGTCTGATTAATAATGTGGAAGATATTTTCGATTTTTTTTAGTTCAAAAGTGTTTAAATCTGATAATCACTTATATTTCCCTGCAACTACAGCAGAAATGCGCAAGTCACTTGAACTTTAATCAAGGATCCCTTAAAATTACGCTTACAGTCCCTTTAACTATGTCACAATATTAATATCCCAGGTTTCTTATAATCAAAAATACAAGGAAAAAGTTCTATAATTCTTCATGAATCTTTAATATCGGATCATTATTTTCTTGTCATGGAATAAAAAATGTCACGCTAAAATTGTAAAAGAGGTTATATACATTTGATTTAAGAAATTTTAAATATTTTGCACAACAAGACAGCAGAGAGATGAGCATCATTTTTGTTAACAATAACGAAATATTAAAAAGCGAACAAAATTTTCCCGAACAATATAGTGTCGCCATGTCGTTCAGAAAAAAAATAAAAACATTTCGGAATAATTTTTGATTATTTTCAGCATTTAAACGTAGTTGCAACTTGTATAGGGTTTAGGCCAATAATACATTTAATTGTGCGCAATGTAAAGTTCAACAAAAAATGTCCAGATGCTTAGGGGGGTTAACAGCTAAAACGACGGAATTTAAAACACCTAACCTATCCCGGAAAATAAAATATAAAAATATACGTAATATTTCCAATACTTGTTCAAAACGTCACTATTACTACAGTTTGTAAATTTACCACAATTTACCCTATATATTATCCCAACCCTCTCAAGTTATTTTCCTTAACAATTATATTTAGTTAATTGTTAATTATATGAAGTTTACCTTTATAGACTTTACAAACTGCTCCTGGAGCCATTCGATATCATCCCCACTAATACCAGGAAACTCCATATTTTCGTTCATCCTGAATAGAATTATGTGTACAGCTCCGCGTGGCCCGTGGACTTTTAAAAGAGCTGTTACATAATACATATATATTATATAGTACAAACAATCTCTCCTATTCATAATATTTGCATAATGGGTGTTCAAAAAAAACTTTGCAGTATAGGTTGAGCATGATAAGAGGTTAACATGATAAGGCAGGACCACCTTTATCTATAACAAGGGGTACAGACACAGGGTGAAATGATTCAAAGGTGGGTCAAACATTTCGCCTGTCAAGAATACGGGGCATTAAGGTTAAAAGGTCAGCGGGATTTTATAGAGCCCACCTTTCACCTGCCTCGGATACAGGGTTCAAAGGATTCAAGGGTGTATTACATGAGTCACCTGTTAAGGATACAGGGTTCAAAGGATTCAAGGGTGTATTACATGAGTCACCTGTTAAGGATACAGGGTTCAAAGGAATCAAGGGTGTGTTACAAGAGTCACCTGTTAAGGACACAGGGTTCAAAGGATTCAAGGGTGTGTTACATGAGTCACCTGTTAAGGATACAGGGTTCAAAGGATTCAAGGGTGTGTTACATGTGTCACCTGTTAAGGATACAGGGTTCAAAGGATTCAAGGGTGTGTTACATTAGTCAACTTTTCAGGATACAGGTTTCAAAGGATTCAAGGGCGTGTTACATTAGTCAACTGTTCAGGATACAGTGTTCAAAGGATTCAAGGGTGTGTTACATGTGTAACCTGTTAAGGATACAGGTTGTAAAGGATTCAAGGGTGTGTTACATGAGTCACCTGTTAAGGATACAGGGTTCAACAGGGAGTAAGGAATAGAGGAGAGGTATAACTGACGCGGTTCGCCCTACCATATGATTATACATGCTTTGCAGACGAGTACTCCATTTATATATGAAATGTTCAGAATAGGTTATTGTATACGCAGTAAATGTACATCAGACAAATACTTCTTATACAAATGGAGTACTCGTCTGCAAAGCATGTATAATCATATGGTAGGGCGAACTGCGTCAGTTATATCTCCCTTCTATTCCTTACTCCCTGGGTTCAAAGGATTCAAGGGTGTGTTACATTAGTCAACTGTTCAGGATACAATACAGGGTGTAAAGTAATCAAAGATGTGTTAGATGGGTCCACTGTTAAAGATACAGGGTGTAAAGGATTTAAGGGTGTGTTACATGAGTCAACTGCTAAGGATATAGGTTATATAGGATTTAAGGATGTGTTTTATGTGTCAACTGTTAAGGATACAGGGTGAAAAGGATTAAAGGGTGTGATACATGGACAAAATATACACACTATAAACTAAGCTACTAGGGTAGGTCAGATAGACTAATGATAAGCTGGGTCCTGTAAAAAGTTGAAACCAAGCCGGCATAGGACAGGGTCGGGTCGGTACTTGCTGAGCGTCACTAAGGATGGAAGAAGGGGTCGATCCGGTTAGAATTTAAGTTGATCCTAGTCCACAGTATATAGGAAGTAAGAATGTAGAAAATATTGTGTAAATACGATATTTTGTAAACCTGCAGTACATTGTACATTATTAACAATTTATGTAGTAGACCCTTACATAATGACATTTTTCATTGAAACTGGGTTTCAATTGAATACGTAGCATGATTAAATTAAATCAAGTAATATACTTAAATTACGCTGTAGTCATGTGTGGAGATAGCTTAACTGCGATACATCTATTCCCTCTAATCTTATAAATATTTACATTAAACTTTAACTGTGCGGTAAATAAGTCTCAATCTTGTGATATAGATAACGACGTAGGAATTGTAATTATATCAATTATTCGGAATAGATATATAGCTAGGCTTTTGTCCTTGTGTGGCATCCATAAAGGATCGTCCCCATCATTTGGGATCGATTTATAGCTTGTTTGATAGCTAGGCTTGTGTCCCTCTGTGACATTTAGAGCATTGGATCGTGCCCATCATTTGGGATCGATTTATAGCTTGTTTGATAGCTAGGCTTGTGTCCCTCTGTGACACTTATAGCATTGGATCGTCCCCATCATTTGGGATCGATTTATAGCTTGTGTGATAGCTAGGCTTGTGTCCCTCTGTGACTCTTGGAGTGTTGGATCGTCCCCATCATTTGGGATCGATATATAGCTTGTTGGATAGCTAGGCTTCTGTCGCTGTGTGGCATTTAGAGTACTAAAATAATAGCTTGTTGGATAACCATGGATTAGGTGTTTACTACAAGGATTGGGCACACCTTTCACCCGGAAAATGGGGTGTCAATGATAAAAGGGCGGGTCACACCTTTCACCTGTCAGGAAGACGGGGTGTAAAGGATTGTCCATTAAGATAAACCACGGGCTCCTACAAAAAAAATAAACATTACCATATGTCTCGCTAGTTTTCAGCTATGAGAACTTTATAAAATATAATAACTGGCAAAGCAAAAACCATCACAGTAATTACATATTAATTTGGATGGAAAAGGATTCGATAGAAAAATAGCTCGATTGCCGGTGAGCATTGTAACAACTTATACATTTTTTGAGAAGTTCTTTGGGTTTCTCAAGCACGCAATTTAGCAGAAAGAAGAATTTTCGATTCCTTTACTAACAATCTATACTATGTCAGAATATTGCATAAGCAAATATATTTTATTTCCCAATTTTTTTTTTTGACAAATTAAATAAACACCAACTTTTTAGATGAAAATTCTGTTGTAGATATGCCAATTTAAAATATTGAAAGTTTTGGGCTAAACTTGAGTTAGGTCTCAATGGTCAAATTTGAAGATTCACCGATTTCTCATTGGTTCAATTGTACGCACCACCGATGTACATTTGAATATCCGAGCCGGGCCAACCTTTGCAGTCCTACTTTGGACTGTACCGCAAATTTACTATTACTAAAGCGGCAGAGGAGGGTGATTGCGGAGCTTTTAAGAATATTATAAATCTGCAATCTGTTTAATGATCGAAAAAAAGAATTTGTTTTATATTTCTTTTTATATCTTTATATTTATAAAAGTCGTAATCCCTGTTTGTTTGTATGTTTGATTATATTTCATGAACATCTTAGATTGGTTTAACATTTCGAAGTGGAGGGTGTTGAATTTTATGGAGAAAACTAAGTTCACAAACTAGTTCTTTATAATATTTGATATTATAAATAAAATAGAAAAAAATAAGGTGTCAATTGTTAAAAAGAATACTGAATGGACTCAAAAAGTGGAAACAATCCTTGTTACAAATACCCAGAGCTCATAGAACAAAGTTATGTAAAATAAAGCTTTTCTAAAACTATAATTATGTTTTCGTTAAAGTAATGTTCTTAAATAGGGAAATTTGAGTTAGGTTCCAAACTTTATTCTGCAAACTTTATAGAACAAAGTTATAAAATTCCAGATAAATGTTTCACACATTGTTTAAGTTTAAAAGTTTTGAAGTTTGGTTTAAATATTAACCAAGCAAATTTGAAATACTTTACTTCTTGGGAAATATCTATTTTTGAATATTTTAAATTTTAGTTTTAAATTGAAGTTTGTTTTAATTTCATGATAATTTAATCGTTAATCTTTCTTATCTTTTTCATTGTATAGTTCATTTTTTATTTAATTTATCCGGTTTGAAAATTAGAAATTAGAAATAATAAAAATATTATACTTTTGAGAATATAGTTTGGCAAAGACAACTTTTTACACTCTTTAACTATAAATGACCTGTCTCATGTTAGTCCAAAGAATATGTGATGCTTGAACTGCTTCTGAGATATACTTTAACGTTAGAAGAAACCCATCTTTAGTAGGTTGACCTGTACCAAATACAAGGTAGCCAGGAACCTGAAAACCAAATTTAAAAAATTTAAAATCTCATAAAAGAATGTTCAAAGGGAAAATAGTTGTTTTGAAAATTGTTTTAAAATATTCCTTGTATAAGTTTATTTATGCAGAAAATAATAATTCTTCATAAAAATATCTTTGATTAGTAATCCACATAATTTGGCTTCATACCAATAGCAATACTCTTCCTGAGCAGAAAACTTTAGAATGAGATATCCTTAATCCTGATCGCTTAATCTGAGTATCCAATGTACACACTTTTGATTTTATTTTTAATCCTCTTTTTTGGATATCACTACTGTTTAAAAGTTACGTTTGATAACAATTACAGATAAAATGCTATATCGATTGAACTAATATCCGATTGAATTAAAGTCAGCTGTTCACAAGCCGGCTTTTAAAGCATTAAAGCAAATTAAGTTTAATCATGTTAATATGAACTTATTAAAAAATATATTTTATCGTATGTTAGGTCTATCCTCATTTTAAACGAGTCTTAAGAAACATTAATCCAATCTTATATTTATTTAATCGATGTTTAGTTCAATTTATATGACACAATTAACACTAGAAAAAAAACCGGTTTTTCAAAATTTAAAGAGTAAATCTTAACATGATACGCTGATTGGTTGAATTTTATACTTCTTTCTTGGATATCGAATGCGTATTAAAATAATCTCGGGTTTAGTAAAACCAGATGTTTAAGCATTAATCTTGATATCCATCATTCTAAAGTTTTCAGCTCTGAGTTGGGAACTTTTGAATGGTGGATATCAGGATTAATGCTTGATCCACTCTTTTTCTTAATCTCCAGATTAAATAATGCTTGTTATCTTCTTTATATTAATCTCCAGATTAATTTACCGATCGGGATTTAGGATATTCCATTCTAAAGTTTTCCGCTCTGATCATTCCAGCTAGTATGAACTATGAAAATACTATGAAAATGAACGATTAGGCTACACAAAGAAAAAGTTTTCTGGTTAATGTTGAAAATTTGTTATATGCCTTGAAAACTGTTTTTATCTGGAAGTGACGTTGTTAGTTCTTTTAATGTCATGTTACCTGTCTAAAATTTGGTGCTCCATCGAAAACTGGCAGTTTTTTATCCAATCGATGGATGTTTTCAAAATGATCGAATTTCAGTACACACAACTTATCAGTGTTAAAAGATGTAAAATTATAAAATTTACTCATTCCCGTTCTTAAAAAAAAATTTATTGATTTTCAAAACTCGGGGATTTTAGGATAAAAATTTGCGCATATTCTTGTATCACAATTTATTCAAATGAACCAATACTTTCAAAAAAAATTTAATTATGTAAAATTGTTAACATTGTTCCTTCATTGGGTTGTTTTTCTCTCTGTTTTTGGCCTCTTCAGCTTTTCTTTTTTCAAATCTTTCACTTCGAATCCACTCACAGCTATATAGTAAAATGATATTATCATCACACAAATGTTTCTAACCTCACTTTTTTGCTAATCTGTATACCTTTGAAGGCTGATTTTGTATTTTAAGCTTAGAATTCAGTCAGACTGTATAGGTCAAGTTTAAAATATCAAAGATCTACAACATCAGGTTGCACAGATTTTAAGATTATATTTAAGACATTACCAAAAGATACATTTACTTAAGACTCTTTTCAGTTTAGATACTTGTACATTATTTTTATATGTTTAATTTTAATTATCATCTTCTTTCTTCCTGACAGTCTATTACAAAAGATTATTTACAAATCAGTTATGTCCATTTAATATTTTTTGATTTGCCTAAAAAGATTCTTTATAGCACATCTTTATTGCTTCTATATGTTTTCGATAGCTATTTATTTATATATATATATATATATATATATATATATATTAGTAAATATATCGAATAGATTTATGTATTTATTGCAAAATATCTATAAACTGTATAAATTGATTCTTTGCCAGAAACTCTGATTATCTAATCCCTATATTTTTTCAACCCAATTTGTTGTAGACCTCAGATTTTTAATAATATAAATTCTGTTAGATCAAATAATCAAATGTTAAAATATCAAAGGTTAACACCATCAGGTTGCAAAGATATACGAATTAGAAAACAAGAGTTTGTGGCAAAGACTCAGTTTTGTAGTTTTAAATTTCAAATATTTTATATTTAATCTATTGTACCGTTATGTGTACGAAATAGGTTAAAAAAGTTCAAAAAGTAGGTCGGAAAAATGTTCAAAAATAAATATTATGATGTGATTTATTGCATACATTTTTACTCATACAGATTATAACCCTGTAGCTTATTTAATATAAAAATTATTTTTTTATTTTTTTGTAACACCGACCCGCCGTTTAACTGTCCTTAATCCAATGCAAAATTTGTTTACAACTATGTAGTTAAAAAAAACCACAGGAGAGGGTGTTGGAAAACAGCCCCCCCCCCCTAATGGTGATAGGGTTAATTAAATTTAATGAAATATGCGATAGTGTCTACTTTTTGCAGTTGATAATAATAATAAAATCAAAAATAACTATTCAAAGTGGTATCAGATAGATTTGCAGTGTTACAATGTGTTTGATGGACAGAAATTTTCTTTTTCTCGAAATCGAAATATAATTTAAAATTCCTTGATTCATTGCTCATTTGTAGACTTTACACGCTTTTCACAATGCATAATTAGTGTAGGCAATTTAAATTTATTTATTTTAAAGTTATTCTGAAAAATATTCAATTCTTATTTGTAAAGATAAACCTTGTACCAATTAAGCTTTACATAATAACACAGTGCTATTATATTTATAATAAATCAGTTGTTGCAGCAAACTGCGATTTTATATCCCAATATCTTTGCAACCTGATGGTGTAAATCTCTATTCCTTTAATACTACAATACTCTATTAATTTCATACTACAATACTCTATTCCTTTAATACTAGAATACTCTATTCCTTTAATACTACAATACTCTATTAATTTCATACTACAATACTCTATTTCTTTAATACTACATCAGAATCAGAATGATTACTAGTATTCATTTAATACTACATCAAAATGATTATACATTATAACATTACAATAATAAAATTTAACATGACGTAAGCTTAAATGTTAAAATGAACAATAGTTTCATGAAAAAAAATGTAATGTTGTATAACTTCAACAAATTAAAAGAATTACACCACTGAATTATTGTTTAACACTAAAGTATGCCGGTCCATTAGCGCCTGATCCAATCAGGGTTCAGTCATGTGTTTGGTGTCTATTCTGAACCAAAAGAAATTGCATGGCGATAACATCTATCTTTCTATCTACTTCATTATCCAATTAGAGATAAATCCTTATATCGGCGCTAAACAGTAAATGGAAATATTTACTTTTACGGAACCTATAGTGTTTTATGCACATTTGCCGCGTACAGTAACTTACCCTTCTTTCTCCAGCTCAATCATAATAGCCTCACTAGCAGTAGCCGCCATTGTCTCTGTCGTAGATTTAATACTTACTGGTTTCCAGGTAAAAAAAAACTATTTTTATTGTAATGAGAACTGAGTAAAAGTAGTAAATTTTGGTTATTTTGTGTACCATCTCATATTTTGTAGTTTGATAAAACTATATATCTGCATACTGTATCATCAATATTAAATGTTCTTGGTATTAGTTTAAAGTGGTCATTGTTCTATATAAATCCATATAATAAAACAAGACATTCTTATATATATTTTGCCTATAGCCGGTCAAACGGCTGGACCGATTGGGCTGAATTTTTTTTGTGGACATTCAGGGGTGGCCGGCGGGTGTTGTAGGCTAAAAAATCGATTTTTTTAATTTCCACGGGCAACGCCGGGCCCTTCAGCTAGTAATTCATATTGCGACAAACGTCAAAATACAGTTTATTGCGCGAAACATTTAAATCTTTTTTGTTTTCAATCCTAACTCCTATTTTTGAGAAGAAGTTATCTAGAGTTTTCTTATATTCTGCAGTGAGAAGTAGAAAATTCTGGAATAGAAAGACGACGTTTAGTTAAGTTAAGACTTTAAATAGTCCAATGCACATGAGGCATATCAATTGTGCAGTGTAAACAGACTCATATTTTACTTGATTAGTGATTTAATAAAATACCCCCAATCATTGCTTTAAAGTCGTCTTCCTATTCAACAGATCTCTGATTCTCATTGTTTAACTATTTGCCGTGGGTGACCAGAAAACAGTGAATGTATTATTATCTTTTTCTTCTTTGCAACCTGATGCCGTAAACCTTTGATATTTCAATCTTAAATTATTAGATGTACCAGTGGCCGAATTTAAAGAAAATATGGTTGGTTCCACTTAAAATTGTATCAAATGTTTCAAGATTTAAGCTGGCACTAAATTTAAACCGGGTTTTGGCGGATTTTGGCGGATTTAAACCGCGGCTCAAATTCTTTAAATTCCATCTCAGGATGCATTGTTTGAAATATCTAAGGGTTATGGCATTGGACTGTGATTAGAAAATCAGACTTTGTGGCAAAGAATCAATTCCTTTGTAGTTTTTATAAATAACTGGTATTTTTATAAACCTTTTTTTAGCAATAAATCTAATATAAATAACCAAATTTTAAGATAAAAGAAAAATGTTTCAGGGCAATAAATCACACTGTTTTTGCATCAAATAAAGTTTTTTTTTAAATTTATTTGAAATAAAAAAGAGCCGTGAAGAATAAACTAATATTAAACAATATTTCATTTTAAAATCTGGGAAAGAATGTTTCAGCGTAGAAACATTCTTGTTAAATACTATTTCTTTAGAATTGATTTCTAGATTTCTAGATTTCTAAACGAACAGACTTTCTCAACAAAATACATTTACAACTGATATGATACAAAGTATACACATTTGAAAATCACAGAGTGGCCCAAATCCCATTCAGCTTTGACTTTAATCACATATTTTTACCCTGCAGTGGATGAATTATTTGGTGTACTGTCCCATTTTGATTTATATAGTTTGCATGTACAGCTTGCTCTAGCTGGCTAAATTTCTGCCCGGTACTTGAAATAACAATCTTATATTATTGTAAGTGAAATTGGTCTGTATACACTGCACTGCACTGTGTTTCACCGTCACGTTTATTACATTATACAGCCGTTTTCTGTACAGCTGACTGTCTTCCATTTTTTACAGTTTTATGGGTGCCTTTGTAATATTCAAGTTAAAAGAAAGAATTTGTTTAATTATAATTTAGAGATTTTATGAAATGTGATCTGCAATTGTTGTGTTTTTATTTTGACAAAGATATCATGAATTAAATAAAGTAGTAATCTCTGTCTGTTTTTTTCTCCGATCATATTTCGATTGACCGATTTGCCTCTACTTTTGATTGGGGAACTCGGGAGAACCACGGGATTGTTCTAAGCTAGGTTGATTTATCGTAATTTACGGGTAAACGGTGGGTTCCAAAGCGAGTTTGGAAATAAAAATTAAATTGTCTCTTTAGTTAATATCTACAGAAGAATTGCCGAATTTGACGGGAAAAGATATTGTCTCTATAGTTAATATCTACAGAAATATTGCCGAATTTGACGGGAAAAGATATTGTCTCTATAGTTAATATCTACAGAAATATTGCCGAATTTGACGGGAAAAGATATTGTCTCTATAGTTAATATCTATAGAAGAATTGCCGAATTAGACGGGAAAAGATATTGTCTCTATAGTTAATATCTACAACAATATTGCCGAATTAGACGGGAAAAGATTTGGAATTTGTATTTTTAAAAGCTATGAGAAAACGATCAATGATTTGCTCTTTTTACTTTTACTAGAAATTCAAGGCGCTTCGCGCCCTTCTTTCTAGGCTTTTAGGGCGCTTCGCGCCCATCTTCTATTTAAATTGTGAACATGTTCTTTTTGTTTACATTTTAAAACAAAGAAGAAAAAAATTTTGCGGATTTCTTAAAAAGATTCGCGGATTTTTAAGAATTTAAATTTTTTTTACAACATTAAAAACCTTTAAAACACATTTTTTTAAATTTTTATCATTCATAAACATTCCCTGTGGTCACGTGATGTCCCACAAAAAAATTGGGCCCGATCGGTTCGGCCGTTTTGACGTTTATTGGACACAAACAAACAAACAGACAAACAGACAAGCCAAATTTATATATAGATGCTAATAGACGATACATTGCTAAAATATCTGAAAGAAATATTTTTTTCTAATGACACAATGAACATTAGCGTGGGTCTACTGTTCTACAAAATCAAAAGTGTATTGCTTAATTATTTTGGACAGAAGTGTAATAAAATCAAACTTGTCATAATTTTTTTTTTAATCCGAGCTGAAAACTTTAGAATGGGATATCCTAATCCCGATCGGTTTATTAATCTGGAGATTAATAACAAGAGGAGAACAAGCAATATTTAATCTGATGATTAAGAAAAAGAGTGGATCAAGCATTAATCCCAATATCCACCATTCAAAAGTTCCCAGCTCTCTTACGAGACAATTGCAAATTTAATTTAAAAACTAACAGTTCCAGTTTTCCAACCATTTTACAAAAAATGGCAATAATTTCAAAACCTTGCACAAAAAATTAAAAATTATTGTACACCGTTTGAAATGTTTAATCACGTTTGTTCTATTTAGAGATTATAAAAATCACTTTTAAGGAAAAATTTCTCTGTAATAATTTAGTTTTATTTTCTTTTTCGTGTCAAAATTCTCAATTATATTTGCAGGATTTATATGCTGACGAAAAGCATTTTAATCACAGGATTTAAGTATAAACTAGAGTTTTAAACTCTGTAAAATGAACAAAAATATTTTGAAAAATGTTCAAAATGTCTCCTCAGTAGACTCTGTACTGTTTACAGTGTAAAAGTGGCAGAATATTGGAAAGCTATATATCTAGACTTTTTAATCTTTTTTCCCTGCTGGACAGGTGAAGGGGAAATCCTACCTTCCAAACTTTCTGAAATGCTTTTCCTAAATAATTTACTCTTTTAATTAAGAGTTCATTTTATATTTCTCGTTTGCGAAAGATGATGCCCCTTATTTACTTTCGAAAGCAATGTTTAAAAAATTTAGAAGATTTTACTTTCAGTAATTTTTCTAACTAGAGAACTTTTCTATTGATTAAACTATGGTTTTAAATCTTTTTTAATTCATAAAATTTTAGACAATTATTTTACCTATATATGGTACAGAGTGCAAAGAATCGAAAAAAATTATGAATATTTTATGACTTGAAAAGTAAATTGAATAGACTGGATAAAATAACGACACAAGGTTGCATACAAAACTATATTTACAGATTAAACATATACAAATGATGTTTATCAAATGAGAAATTAGATTTTATTCAACATGGCATTTGCCTCCAACGGCGAATGTATTTTCCAGGGAACCTATCTTGTTAATTGCAGTACCCGCCTAGCTCCGCTTTATCTGGATGTACAAATAAAAGCCAAACTTTATAAGGGTATCCATCCTTGGAGCGTCTAATGATTGACGACAGAATCTTCATCATTGGGTTCTGATGGCAGCAGATGGATTGACCTTAACTCCAGTCCTACTCTAATCCAACTTTTGATTTCCTTTACTCCTTGGGAAAATGAGGGGTGCAGTGCTCCCTGGGAGCAGAGGTGATCACTGACAGATACTTGTACTTCTTGAAGGGGTAAGTATCAAGTCTCCATCTCCAACAGTTTTACCGTTACCTCCACTCAACTGTATTGGTACACATCTTCTACTGCTTAAAAACAAAGATTTCCCCGCCCAGGTGATGAGCAGGAGCATCTGATAGTTATGTTCTAATTTTGGCCATTTCACTGCACATCAGTGCGCTAATCACAACTGTCTCCTCCCTTTCAGCGGATAGGATTGGGTTTTGAATGGCTGACCATCCCACAGTAATAAAGCTTCATATGGGATTTCACCTTGCATTCATAACGGTTTAACTGTTCATGATAGACAAAAGAAACTGAGTTGTACCTGGATAGATACTTGTTCAGAAAACTGTTATGGAGTATAGGGCATTTACTACATTCAATGCTCACCATTTGCAATATTTCCACTTTTTGACTTTCTCCAGATAATTCTTGGTGACTTTGACAGCTTGCTCCATCATAGACGTTGATGCTGATGGTGGGGGCCGAGCATGCATGCTATGTCTATTTGCATTTATGAACCATAATTGGTTCACATTATCTATATTATCTACACACATATAAAGTTGTAATCTCTGTTTGGGTGACTGATTGTTTGTTTGTCCGATCATTACTTGGGAACCTCTGAACCGATTTGCCACAAATTTTGACTTGGGAACTCGGGAGACCCACTGAAATGTTCTTAGCTTGGTTTTGAGATTCTAAATTGAGTAAGTCGAATTAAATAGCGCAAAATTTAGTTTCACGGTATAATCGTTCAAGTGCGGGTAAATGGTGAAAATAACGTTTAGTAACTTGGGCAGCGCTGTGGTCCCAAGCTATTATATAATATATTATTATCATTATTATTAGTGTGTATGTATTGTAAAGATATATAAATAAATGTAA